GTTGTCAAGGTACTCCCCTTGTCTATTTGTTGATTGAATCAAAACTATTGTTATTTAGGGTTAAGATGCAAAATTAGTTTGAATGGTTAATAATTTCTATAATTAGTTGGGGTCCCAATCAGATGAGATTATATAGGTTGTCCAACAGGTTGCAGTAGTATAGTAAGTTAGTATAGTTAGTAAAGTTAGTTAGTGTAGTTAGTATAGTTAGTTAGTTTAGTTAGTTAGTGTAGTTAGCATAATTAGGTATTGTAGTTAGTCTTGTATAGGTGTTAATATTAGATTAGTTAGTATAGTTATAGTTATTATAGGTATTAATATTACTATAGATAGTACGTACGATGATTTGGATGACTTGATGAAGTTTTCTCATGCTTTTGTAGATGGATTGTTGTGTCCCAGTTTTTTACGGAGGAAGTGTTAGGAAAGAAGATGGTATGTTTGAGGATATGGAAGAAGAATTGGAATGGTTTGATGAACCTCCTAGCTTCAACGACCTTTGTGTCCGTTTAAATAAAAAGTTTGGCAGTGATTTCACACTGAAGGGGATGTTTGATAGTGGGAAGACTAGGGCACACTATGTCTTGATGCCCTTGCGCGACTATGCTCACTAGTCTCGCTACAATAGGGTGATCCAAGGTTCTAATGTGCCCATGGCTGAGGTGGTGGTGGAGAATTGGTACAGGATGCAGGGTCTCGAGGACGGGCCATCTATTGATGGTGTTGGAGGCAACGAACAAGAATTAGGGGTCGAAGGGGAAGCAACTCAGGGTAACATGGATTTGGACAGTCAATTGACGCAGGAGCAGCTTCATTCAACTCTAGTAGTCTGTATAAGCAATGACTTTGATGTGAACGAGTTCAAACAGAAGTAGGAGGAGGAGGACAGGATCGATGATGTAGTTAGCAGTGATTCAGACGATTCAGATGATGACCAAGGAGGTAGAGATGCTATGCCAATACTGGTTGATGCCATGCTAGTACCGATTCATGCTATGCCATTACCCATACCAACTGAGGTACTTCATGCTATGCCGACTCAGGGTAGACTAGTCATAGATTTACCAGAAGATGATACCCCCTATGATTCATGGGCTAGAATTAGTGAAGCACAGCAGTACGTTCCACCACCACCCTACACAGCGACAGAGCTTATGCAATTGAGGGAGATGAACATACCTTTCAGTGGCGTTCTGAACTATAGGGATGTCAGCATGACAGATATGACAGTTTGTGACACCGGTCTTCTGAGGTGTAGGAAATATTGTATGACCATGAGAATGAAATCCTTAGCAAGGGGATGATATTCAATACAATGTCAGAGATGAATCTGTTCCTTCGGGGCTATGCTATCTATCACCATAGGTCGTACACCGTCACTCATTCGGACTAGGAGTTGAGGTACGTACCACATGGTATGCAAAAATGGTTGTATGTGGTGGTTAAATGCATGAAAGAGACATAGTGATGGCAAGTGGAGGATAAGTAAAGTGGTCCAACCCCACACTTTCCTATCAAATAAGGGGAAGGAAAATCATCAGTAGCTCACTGCACGTTACCTTGCCCGTCATATATTGGGGCTCGTTGATGACAACAATGACATTTCTGTGTCTTCCTTAGAACAGTCCATATTCGGATTCGTTAAGTATGATGTGAAGTACGAAAAGGTTTAGCGTGCTAAGCAAATTTCCCTGGCAATTCATTGGGTAGCTAGGAGGAAGCGTACAACAGGGCTCCCCGAATATTATGTGCAATGATTACTACAACCCTGGCTTAAAATGGTTTATAGACACTGGAAGGATGTATTTCGAGGACCCATTGAGGCATGTCCTGCATCGTGTGTTCTAGTCGTTTGCGTAGACAAAACATGCATTCCAGTATTGTCAGCCAGTCATACTTGTTGATGGCACTTTTCTAACCGAAAAGTACAGGGGCACCTTGATGATGGCTGCTGCTGTTGATCCGGAGGACCAGATAGTACCCATGGCTTTTGCTTTGGCAGAGGGAGAGAACAATGAATCATGGTCATGGTTCATGTGACTTCTACGTGCACAAGAGTTTGGCCACTATATGTTTGATCTCGGACCGTCACGTAGGGCTTCTCAATGCTATAGATGAACAAATTGATAGGTTTCCGCCTCTAGTGCACAGATGGTGCATGCAACATTTTGCCGCTAATTTCTGGCGGTGTCAGAGGAAGAAGGAGGTTTGTGGCAAGGTAAAGGCTCTATGTTATGTACGTACAGAGCACCAGTTCAAGAAGACAAAGAGAGAACTAGACAAGATGCTTCTCCTTAGCCGCACCAATGGCCTATTCCAGGCTCTGAAGGGACTAGGCCATAGTTGGCTTTAACACCAAATTCACACATGACAGGAGGTGCTTTGAAAATTACCCTTTCTTTCTTGTTTTCCTTTGCCTTTGGTGGCTCTAGCCACTGATTCTTATGACCATAGAGCCACTCCTTGAAACGACACTTTTTCATTAAAAACACCTAAAAAGGTGACATTAGTACATGAACACATATAGCTCAACATTTCAACAGATACACTTTCCACTTACTTCATGCTTGTTTAGACACACAAACTCCAACATATTCTTAGGGTTTATCATAGCTCGATCTCTGTAATTGCACAGAGGAGGTTCCTCAAGTCGTCTAACTGCGGCTAAGTACTTCTCCTTAGCCGTCATTGGCGGGGGTTAGGGGGAGGTGGAACCCACCGCTCGAAGTGCTCACGTGGATGTCTCCCTCTCCATCAATCATCGAAAAGGAGGTACCTTGGGTCATACTTGTCTAGACCGTCGATCTACTAAAAGAAAAAAGCACCTCTCATGGTCCTACACAATAAGATTCCAACAAAAGATTAGTAACCTACTAACACAAATGAAGAAAAAAAGATAACGAATGAATTACTTACATTAAAACTACTGTATTTGTAGAAGCAACGCGCAGCTGTGTTTGGATGTCTCGATTGAAACATGTCGGTCGGACGACCACAGTCATAGTTAGGGACAGGGAGGTCAGGAGGGATTGGGGCATCTTTGCTAGACGCGTCGGGGTACAATTCTCTACGACGACCCCATTTTCGTCACAATTGCTCCCGATACATGTCTTGCATCTAATAAAATGGTTGCAATTTAACATCAATCAAAACATTGCAAATTAATGTAAAGGAGAACCATTTGTATCACGACTAAAATAATTAACCGACACTTATAGGAACAAAAATATACCTTACACTAAACATGATAACATGCTTCTAACTAACTAATTAACATTAACATTGACAATTCTAATCCTTATCCTTGAATCCACCATTCAAAGGAACTAATATTTTCCTCTAAACCCTAGCTACAAATCCTAATCCTTAATTCACCGTTCAAACTACTAATAAGAGCATTGTTACCTTGACCGAGGCCGAGGAGAAGCTTGGGGGAAGGTATGGAGGGAGGCGGCAAGGGAGGGTAGGGCGATGGCTGGGCTTGGGGGAGTTGGGAGGCGGCGGCGCGGCCGTTGGAGCTGCCTCCACCAACTAAGACAGAGAGGGAGGGAGCCCACGGCGCAAGGTTTAAGTCGGGCCTCGCCGCGCCATGACAGGTGGCGCGGCAGGACCGGCCATGTCATCATCCAGCGAGGCGGCTCACTGCCACGTGCCCACCTTCGCCGCGCCGCCATGCATGGCGCGGCAGCTCAATTTCGCCGCGCCATGCGAATAGGCACGGCCATAAGTTTTAGTTTTGAAAAAAAATAAACAATGTCAAATTTGAAAATAGTTTAAAAAAGTGTTAAAAATAAAAAAATCACTGGCGAGGAGGAGAGCAGGAGAAGGGGTCGAGCGCAGCCGAGAAGAGGTGATTCTGTTCATGGCGTCCGGAGTACTCAGATCTGGACTTCTCTATTCTCATCAATGGCTCTCAGAGATCACTCCAAAAGCTCGCCAATGGCGAGGTGTGCCTCCCAGCCCTCCTGCCACTCCGAGCTGAGCTCTAATCTAAACTCCTTTACCTCTTGTGGTCTAATCTGACTCCCTCATCTCAATTTTGCTGCTTTGCTGTAGTCTTGTAAAACTTCATGTTCTGATTTCAGTTGTGGTACGAAATCTAATTAGTTTTTAGCTCTAATTTGGTGCTTGATGTGATGCGGTTGTTAAGGAATTTTCTGCCGATATCTTAGTTCTGGGTTAATTTGCACACCTGTTTCCCCCCTTACCCAAACATCAGGTTACGAGGGAGTAAAATTACTTCTATTTTCTTCTGCACAGAAAGTTTCAGGTGTAATTCATTTACAGGTGTAGAATAATCCAATGTTTCCAAACAAGGCCAGGGGTCATCTGATCCCATGAAATACATCGGGCTCCGCCTCAGCCTACTTTTTGAGAGAGTGGACGTCTGAGCCTGAAGCTGTGGCCCAATTTCCCACGGGCCCTGCATGCAGGCCGTTGGTCCTGCGTCGCGCACACTCGCGCCTCGGCCCTAGGCCACCTTACTGCCACATAGGGGCCCAGCAAGATTTCGAAGACGAGGAGACCCAGCCCAATGAGCCGCCTGTAGTACTGTAATCTAGCGCTTGGGCCCGAGGCCCATCAGCTATATCAATTTATCAGCATCCTTCCTTGCTTTACTTGGGCCGCTCCAACATCGACATGACGTGACGTGATGCGATCCCGGTGGGCCCACCGCGCACACGTGCAGGGCATCTTCCTGTGGGCCTGCGGATGGTGCAGGGAGAGGTAGCTGACGAGTGGGGCCCCGGTCGGTGCCTGGCCCGCCGCTCGCAGCCCCCGACCAAAAAGATGCCGCGGATTCGCGGAAGGCCAGCAGGGAGAGGGCGGCGCGTCCATCCCACGCGATTCTCCCACACAAATACCACCACCTCCTCCACCATTGCTTCGGCATCACCCAGCGGCTGCAGCTCAGACCTCATCAGAGGCTCCTGCCGCCCGCCGTCGATCTCGTTCGCCTCTTCCCCGCTGCGGAGCCGTCTCCAGCCCTGCCCGCGCAGATGGTAAGCACACACGGCACCTCGCTGCTCTGTACTTCTGTTCACTGTTCATCGGCTACGCGATCTGCATCTTCGTTTGTCCGATATAAGATTCTGCGTGCGATCGACGGATCTACCATGCTCTTCTTCTTCTTCTTCTCTTAAATAAAATCTCCTCCAGTCACGGCACAGCGCATTGCCCGTTAGTCAGAGCCTCGTTTATTTAATGTATTACCCTCGATTTAGGATCACAAGCATAGATGAGCAAGTTGTAGTATCAAGGCACCTACAGTACTTGACACTAATCCAGCCTCCGACTCCGATCCGTCAGCTTAGCTAGTACAGCAACATTTTTCTCACCAGAGGGAGAAAAAGAGCGAGCAAGAATTAAGCGTAACATATCCAAGAGCTTGTGGATGGTAATTCATTCATTCATTCATACGTCTGGTGATCAGATCAGATGTAGTAGCAATACTTTTTTCCTTTTCCTTTTACAGTTCACATACAGTCTGCCATGCTGGTGCATGACACATCCAAGTGCATGTATGTACCAAACCCAAGAGGAATGCCAGAGGTTCCGTTCATCACACTGTTTACCGATCCGGTTTGTTGCTCTTCACAGTCATGATCATTGTTTCATGCCAACCTGTGTGAACTCGCACCGATCGTTATGGTGTGGGTGGACATGTCGACGTTCTGCCACCTGACATTCAGTCATTCAGATCCGCCAAGTACCACACCTTATCGTGGAGTTCAGTTTGTTCGGCAGCCGTTGTCCTGCCAGTCCTTTTGCATTGCATTAGTTGTGTTGAGCTCAGATGAGAGGTACAGTTAGGCGAACCCAACCAACTTCACACGGAGGAAGATCTCATGTGTCCCTCGGAAACTACAGTTGGCCTGTCTGGTCCCAACGAGCTTATGGAACTACTTGTAGTCTTTTACATCTGCATCACACACGCCTACTGAAACAGAGAGCTAGATACAGTCTGCAACCGCAGCAAATAGCAAGCGATTGTTTACTCTGTAATTTCAGGATGCTGCTCTGCAACAAAGCAAGTTTCTAGTCTGACTCTGAATCTTGTTTTCCTTTCCTTTCCCTGCAGGCAAACGCGGCGTCAGGGATGGCCGTGGACGACGACTGCAAGCGCCGGTTCCTGGAGCTCAAGGCCAAGAGGACCCACCGCTTCATCATCTACAAGATCGACGAGAAGAAGAAGATGGTGGTGGTGGAGCAGGTGGGCGAGCCTGTGCTCAACTACGATGACTTTGCCGCCAGCCTCCCCGCCAATGAGTGCAGGTACGCCATCTTCGACTACGACTTTGTCACCGAGGAGAACTGCCAGAAGAGCAAGATCTTCTTCATCGCCTGGTATGTCATGTCCTTCCCTCCCTCCTTGCCGCTGTCTGTCTGTTCAGAGTGCGGATAGATGCTGCTGGCTTGTGCTGTGCCTGACGTCCATCCATGGCTGCAATTGCAATTGCAATGTGTGTTTGTGAAGGTCTCCTGACACGGCGCGCGTGAGGAGCAAGATGATCTACGCCAGCTCCAAGGAGAGGTTCAAGCGGGAGCTGGACGGCATCCAGGTGGAGCTTCAAGCCACCGACTCCGCTGAGGTTGGCCTTGACGTGATCCAGGGCCGTGCAAACTGAGAAATGGCCAGCAATGAACTGCCGCTGCCTGAGCATGAGCATCATCAGTTCAGATGACTAATGTAAAGGTTATGGCTATGTGAACTGCACCCACTGGCCACTGCAGTGATGAATCAATCAATCTACCCCCTTCCGCGTGCGTGTTCGTCGAAGTTCTTGCTATAGCTTAGTCATGCTTGCCATGACCAGCAACTTTCTGATGATGGAATTCTAGTATCCAGAATGGCCTATGATACTGTTTGCCTTGTGCTTTCTCAAAACCTGGATGAAGGATGCTAAGGCTAAAGTTTGAACATGACTTATCTACTGTTGAAAACGACACATAAAAACTTCAACTAATCAAATATCTTGCGGTGTATTACTTGAGTTCAGAAGTCAGAACATGCATCAGTTTCCAGAAGAGTTAACTGATAGAGATGAAAGCTGGGAGGGTACACCCAGTATTTCTGTTTTGCTGTGCTTTCATTCAGACACTTACCTGCCAGACCAGAAGTCATATTATCTAATCAACTAGTATGTGAGTATCCATAACCACCTACAGCTCTACAATTACAACCAACAAAATCATGGTCAATATTAGGCAACAGCTGAAAAGCCATGGATTGAAGATAGATATGTCTGTCGTCCAAAACATACAGAACAGAGTCTGTCCAAAAATTATTTCTCCAAATCACTAGGCCAAGCTCTCAAACACCTCAAACGCACACGACGACAACAACAAAAACAGCATGCTGGATTTATTTATATACACCCATCCATCATATTTACAGAACTGAGGGTGCAGCTGCAGAAACCGGGCGCCTCTCAGGAAGCTTCAGCAATCGAGAAATGCATTTTAGCAACAGACTCACGAAGGAAGCTGCTTCCACATTTGGCTTCCTGACTGCCCATGCTATCCATGATCCCGGCCTCATGTTTGCTGAGATCGTCTACTGAAGACTGGCCACTAGTGGTGCTAACACCTTTCAACCTAACAAGTTCAATGTGTGTAAATCAACAGAAAATCACATGCAGATGCGCATGACACCCAGAGACAAAATAGCAGTAAAAATACGCTAGCAAACATACCCGAGATCAGGAACCTGCAGTACAGATGAATTCTGGGTAGAATTTTGTTGGTTCTTCTTCTTTGACTTCCCCTTATGTTTCTTCTTCTGTTTGTTCTTCTCCTTGTTGTGGTGTTTTGACCGACGCTGATAGCTGTTAGTCACTGAACGGCATACTGATGTCACAGGGGGGTCGTACACATCAGGAGCCCACTTGACGTGGCGATTTTCTGTTGGTGATGCTATTCCATTCTTTTCACGGCCTCCTTTCATAGCAGGGATGAGCTTCAAAGTTGGCTGCTGACACATTAAAATGAAGAGGGCGGTCAATAATTTTCTGTTAGGCAACATAAATGACCACAAATGCCTTAATGTCTCGTCAATTATCAAACAAAGCTCCAGAGAGCAAATAGTGAATGTTCAACACATCAAGGAGCATAAACCAGTTGGTTTACATCAATGAAAAATAACTGCTAGTTGTTTTTGCTGCCAAATTGCCAACTATTGTCCAGCATGCATGGATAGCAGATCAATGTTCGATACAAAAGCAAACAAATACACTTTAAGCGGTAAATACGGTTTCGCAGTACCATACGTAAATAAGCAAATCAACAGATTTAGTTCGCGCACATATTTATCGTCAGGCTTGTTATACCTTTCTTCAGTTACCACTTGCCAATTACAAGATTATAGCCTCCCAATTTTCTTTTAAAAAAGGCAATCAATAAAGACAGAAAGATGCTCTGGGACGCTCTGGCATGGCATGGCTGCCACTTGCTAATATGGCCAGCTGCTGGCCCTATATCTCTTCGGCTTTCCAAACACTCAGTTAACACAGAATAAAACCATGTATCTTGAAATTAGTTCAAAGTATTATTGCATTCTGAAAGGACGCAGCTAATTTTGTACAGGCATGAGTGAATCATGGCTACAGACAGGAAAGCAATCATAAATCAAATTTGATTACTTAAAGCAGCTATCTAACACTAAAAAGCACTAGTTGGAATCCAGCCTGTTGTCAGATTCTGAAAGTCAGATCATATAATGATCACAACCAAAAGGTCCCATTCAACTACACATACTGCAGGTACAACTTAGCAATAGAATTTAAGTGAGCAAATAGTGACTGTCCACCATGTCTAGGACAATGAACTGGTTGGTTCACATGAATGAAAAAGGCGATATGAGCTGTTTGTGCTGCCAAATTGCCGACTATTGTCCGGCATGCATGGATAACAGATCAATAAAGAAGCATACCATGACAATTTAACCGGTATAATACAGTTTCAAAGTACCGTTACATAAACAAGCAGATCAATAGATTTAGTTCACACATGTATTTATCACCCTGCATGTTAAACATTTCTTCGGTTACCAGTTACAAGAGTGGTGCAAACGAAAACGTCCGAGCCTTCAATCCACATGCAGGCCAATTATAGCAAAAGCAAGAAGAAACAGTTAATTACATTTGCACAAGGAATGCCAGGTGACGTACAACTTGAAACGATTACATTTGAGCTCCCTTTTAAAAAAAAATCAATAAAGAAAGAAATAAATATATGGCGAGATTGTCTTGTGCTTTAGCCACCAAACACTCAGTTGACACAGAATAAAACCAAGATGTCTTTAAATTAGTTCAAATTATTATTGCATTTCAAAAGGTGGTTGCTAATTTTGCATGAGCATGAGTGAATCATGGCAACAAACTGGGAAGCCAATACAAACCAAAATTTGATTACTTAAGGCAGCTAGTGAACACTAAAAACCCTAGTTGGGATCCAGTTATCCAGTCTGTTGTGAAGGTTCCCTAACTTTGATCATATGGTCACAACCAAGATATGTCATTCAAGTACACATAGAGCAGGTACGACTTAGTAATAGAACTTAAGTACAATAGCAATCGTTTCGTACGAATGGTAAAACAATTTAACATGAGGTACTCACAGGTAAGGACACAGAGCGCTCGTAAGCAGGAGCAGCCGTGAGCCCATCATCTGCATGGCAGCATGAACCATCCTCCTGCTGAGCCTGACCAGATGAGAGTGGGAACGTTGCACACTTCTGGAGGCCTTTCTTCACGTCCAAGCTGATCGACTTGGAGAAACCCGTACATATCTGAGCCTCCGATGGAGCAGTGCCGCCTGCCGTGGACTCACAGGTTTCATCCACTGAATCGCAGGGAAGTGGAATACCAGTGCTGGCCGGAGAGTTATCGGCAGATGTCACTACTGGCACTCCTTCAGGACCAGTACTGCCCCCTGCGGCTCCATAAGTTTCATCAAACGAGGCGCAGTGCTTCTCTGGCAGAAGCGGAATACCAGCGCTGGAAAGAGAGTTACCGCCAGATGTCACTACTGGCGCTCCCTCGAGACCACAGGAACCACCACCGTCCATAAAGTGACTAGCTTAGCACTTGCAGAGTGATACAGCAACACGGCAAACGTAGAACCACACTACGCTGCTGATGCTATAGAAACATGGAGAAGAGCAGATGTAGCTGTTATTCCTCCTCATAGACATACAGCATACATCCAGATTTAGATGCTAATGCTAAGTGCGAAGGTTGCATTCGTAAACGTGAACTCCAAGCATAGCATAAGCCGATCCTAACTCCTAAAAGGCACGAATTAAGCTTGTTGTAGGCTAATACTATTATATTTGCTACATATACATTAAACCATAATAAGACTATAAGAGGCAGGCGATCCAGGATGCTACCTGACCCGTATCAGTGTAGATCCGCCTCGAAAGCGAGCAACCGATCAAAACCAATCCGATCCAGCAGAAGTCAGTACCGAACGCGACAGACAAGTCGAAATAACAGGCGCGAACAAGGATTGAAGTCGCAGCAGGAGCAGCAACAGGGAGAGGTAGAAGGGAGGAGGGAAGGGTAGAGACAGGTAGATCAGGGGAGGGGCGGGCGGAGGCAAAGCGTTAAGAGGACGAGGTGGGGGAATGGGGACGCCAAGACCAAGGCTTGAGGCGGTGCGCGCAGGCGGAGGGGACGAGCGCGTCGTCGCGGGGAGGCGGCGCAGGTGCGAGCAGCAGCAGCAGCCCCGCACGCGCGAAGGCATCCTGGATCAGCGCCGCCGCGGGCGCGGGCCGCCGGCGAGGCTCCGCCGCGGATCTGAGCAGGGGAGGGACTGAGGCGACGAATCTCTTCGCTTCCGCGTAGGAGGGATTCTCTTTTTTTTTTTTTTTGACTGACTTGTGATTTTCTCCGGCAGCGACAGAACCTTAGAGGTGAGTGTGTTTTACTTACATAGGAGGTCGTGTGGATAAGGTGACACGTGGGGCTGCTCTGGGCCTTTTTGGGGGCGTTTGTTTTGGTCTCCGGAAACGACGCTTCACCACTGTGTGTTGGGCTTGCTGGTGGAAGCTTCTAGATGTCTTGTCTGGCCTGCTTCGATCGCTCCCGTCGCATAAAAAAAAAGTCATACTTTTCCTCACCCAACTTTTATGAAAGTTAATTTTTTCTCCTTAACTCTAAAACCGAGTAAACCACCTCCCTCAACTTTTTCAAATCGTGCCTTTTACCTCCCTGGAACGGTTTTGAAGGCGGTTTTGTCTTTTTCTTTTTTATTTATTTCGGCTGAATCTTTGAAAAAGCATAGTAAATCATAGAAAAATCATAAAATGGAAAGTACAATTTTGTTGAACTCCACATGAGTAGATCTACACAGTGAATATATAATATAGTGTGCTTTAGTACAAAGTTTTTGCTGTAGATTTAGATCTATCCTTTTCTGTAATTAATTAGAATAATTTATGACTGCAGTTTCTATGGTCCAATTGTGGTGAAATTTTTATGGTGGTCTAATTATTGTATGCTTGAACTGTAGTGAAAATTTTATACTCATTGGATCATGTATAACTTAGTTATAGATTTATTTAGGGTTTATGCTTGTTAAATCTAAATAAATCTATAACTAAGTTATACGTAATCCAATGAGTATAAATTTTTTACTACAGTTCAAGCATACAATAATTAGACCACCATAAAAATTTCACCACAATTGGACCATAGAAACTGCAGTCATAAATTATTCTAATTAATTACAGAAAAGGATAGATCTAAATCTACAGCAAAAACTTTGTACTAAAGCACACTATATTATATATTCACTGTGTAGATCTACTCATGTGGAGTTCAACAAAATTGTACTTTCCATTTTATGATTTTTCTATGATTTACTATGCTTTTTCAAAGATTCAGCCGAAATAAATAAAAAAGAAAAAGACAAAACCGCCTTCAAAACCGCTCCAGGGAGGTAAAACGCACGGTTTAAAAAGTTGAGGGAGGTGGTGAAAGGTCCTAATATGGCTAGAGGGGGGTGAATAGCCTATTTAAAAATCTACAAATCAACTAGAGTAATTTTATTAGTATGACAAATAGCGTAATGCAAACTTGCTCTAGCTCTACAAGGGTTGCAAGCCACCTATCCAACAATTCTAGTTGCAAAGATTACTTAGGCACATAAACTTGCTATGTAACTACTCACTAAGAGCTCTTAATCTTGCTACTCTAAAGAGCTCAACTAGATGAATGTAAATAATAAAGCAAGCTCTCAATTCTAATTACACTAAAAAGCTTGTATCAACTAGTTTGCAAGAATGTAAATAAGTGAGTAGGGTGATTATACCGTCGTATAGGAGATGAACCAATCACAAGATGACTATATAGCCAATCACCGGGAGAATGCTAAAGACAAGAGACAATCGATTTTCTCCCGAGGTTCACGTGCTTGCCAACACGCTACGTCTCCGTTGTGTCGACCAACACTTGCTGGTTCGGCGGCTAATAGGTGTTTCACAAACCTCGTTCACACGATAGGACACCGCAAGAACCGACCCACAAGTGAGGTAACTCAATGACACGAACAATTTACTAGAGTTATCTTTCGGCACTCCGCCGGGGAAGGTACAACTCCCCTTACAATCACCGGAGATGGTCACGAACAATCACCAACTCGTGCCAATCCTCCACCACTGCTCCAACCGTCTAGGTGGTGGCAACCACCAAGAGAAACAAGCGAAATCCACAATACAACACGAATGCCAAGTGCCTCTATATGCAATCACTCAAGCAATGCACTTAGATTCTCTCCCAATCTCACAATGATGATGGATCAATGATGGAGATGAGTGGGAGGACTTTGGCTAAGCTCACAAGGTTGCTATGTCAATGAAAATGACCAAGAGTTGGAGCTTCAACCGTCTATGGGGCTTAAATAGAAGCCCCCACGGAATAGAGCCGTTATACCTATGGATGAAAATGGTACGGATATTTATTCGACCGTCCGTTCGACCGAACAAATATGAACACTTATTCGGATAGTTACTCGGATATCCGGTTTTTTTCGGATACGGATACTAAAACGGATATCTTAGGCGGATATCAAATACGGATGTAATATCATCGATATCCGGCGGATATCGGATAATCCGGATAAGTATCGGATATATCCGGATATTTAAAAACGGATATTATCCGGATATTTATTTAAAATTTAAAAATCACAAATTTGAACCATCCAAACTATCTCAAATGGAAAGTTGACCAAAACAACAATTGTAGATCTTGATGAGTTGAACAAACTTGGTATTCAAAACTTTTCAATTTGAAGTCATTTAGAGTTCATAATACTATAGTCAAAGTGTTGTTTTTTCATTTGACCAAATTTGACTTGGTCAAACTTGCTCAAATGAGACACTAAATGACCTCAGATGAAAAAACTTTGAATACCAAGTTTGATCATCTCAGCAAGATCTACAATTGTTACATAGCTCATTTTTCCATTTGAGAAAGTTTTATCAAACACTAGTCATAAATTCTTGAATCTCATAGACTTTCTGAAACTATGTCACACACTTATGAAATTTGAACTATATTTTATTTAAACTTTCTCAAATGAAAAAATGTCCTATATAAGGATTGTATATCTTGATGAGATGAACAAATTTGGTATTCAAAACTTTTCAATTTGAGACAATCTAGGGTTCCGAAAACTAGTTTGTACACATCGAAATTTAAAAATCACAAATTTGAACCGTCCAAACTATCTCAAATGGAAAGTTGACCAAAACAAAAATTGTAGATCTTGATGAGTTGAACAAACTTGGTATTCAAAACTTTTCAATTTGAAGTCATTTAGAGTTCATAATACTAGAGTCAAAGTGTTGTTTTTTCATTTGACCAAATTTGACTTGGTCAAACTTGCTCAAATGAGACACTAAATGACCTCAGATGAAAAAACTCTGAATACCAAGTTTGATCATCTCAGCAAGATATACAATTGTTACATAGCTCATTTTCCCATTTGAGAAAGTTTTATCAAACACTAGTCACAAATTCTTGAATCTCATATAGACTTTCTGAAACTATGTCACACACTTGTGAAATTTGAACTATATTTTGTTCAAACTTTCTCAAATGAAAAAATATCCTATATAAGGATTGTAGATCTTGATGATCTGAACAAATTTGGTATTCAAAACTTTTCAATTTGAGACAATCTAGGGTTCCGAAAACTAGTTTGTAAGCATCGAAATTTAAAAATCACAAATTTGAACCGTCCAAACTATCTCAAATGGAAAGTTGACCAAAACAAGAATTGTAGATCTTGATGAGTTGAACAAACTTGGTATTCAAAACTTTTCAATTTAAAGTCATTTAGAGTTCATAATACTAGAGTCAAAGTGTTGTTTTTTCATTTGACCAAATTTGACTTGGTCAAACTTGCTCAAATGAGACACTAAATGACCTCAGATGAAAAAACTCTGAATACCAAGTTTGATCATCTCAGCAAGATCTACAATTTTTACATAGCTCATTTTCCCATTTGAGAAAGTTTTATCAAACACTAGTCACAAATTCTTGAATCTCATATAGACTTTCTGAAACTATGTCACACACTTGTGAAATTTGAACTACATTTTGTTCAAACTTTCTCAAATGAAAAAATAGCCTATATAAGTATTGTAGATCTTGATGAGCTGAACAAACTTGGTATTCAAAACTTTTCAATTTGAGACAATCTAGGGTTCCGAAAACTAGTTTGTAAGCATCGAAATTTAAAAATCACAAATTTGAACCGTCCAAACTATCTCAAATGGAAAGTTGACCAAAACAAGAATTGTAGATCTTGATGAGTTGAACAAACTTGATATTCAAAACTTTTCAATTTGAAGTCATTTAGAGTTCATAATACTAGAGTCAAAGTGTTGTTTTTTCATTTGACCAAATTTGACTTGGTCAAACTTGCTCAAATGAGACACTAAATGACCTCAGATGAAAAAACTCTGAATACCAAGTTTGATCATCTCAGCAAGATATACAATTGTTACATAGCTCATTTTCCCATTTGAGAAAGTTTTATCAAACACTAGTCACA